TCCTCTCTCTCTGTATCTGTGTCTTGCTGGGTTGGGATGAGAGGGGGTGTCATGAAGTTCAGTATGGGCCTGGCCCCGGGTTCGAAGCACTCGTTGTTGTTGTTGTAACGCAGCTGCGGAGAGGAGCAGTGGTGAATTTCCGTGGCGTTCTCGATTTCTCCACAGAAGCAGGACAGACTTTCCGATTTCCTACTGGCAGCTGTTTTTTTTACAGAAGTTTATTTTGTTACGTGTAAATAATTGATGAACCAAAAAACAGAGGAGATTGTTTTTTTTCCGGTGGACGTGGGTGTGGGATGGCTGGGGACGTTCACCCCTTGTTTACAGTCTGTGCCACCCTGGCTGTGGGCACCAGGGGGCGCAACAGCAGCTCGGCTCGCCCTGACCACTGCCTGTGTGTGCGGCCGCTGCCACTGCCCGGGGGGACCTGCGCCCCCAGATTTCACCTCGTTTCACCCCCAGGTGCCCGAACACCCCAGCTGACCGGGAGCCGGGGGCCTGTGGCTCCGTTCCAGCTGGGCCCGGTCCAGAAGGGTTTTTTGTTCCAACCGGAACAAGTCAATCAAACAGTTTTCTTAACGATTTTCTGAATTAAACGTAGAAAGGGCTTTTCTTAAGGTCGTTTACAGTTGTTGGCTCGAGACCTTCGCTTGATGAGGTGGCCTGCGGACCGTCTCGGAGCCTGAAGCAGTTCAGAAGCAGTTCAGCTGCTAGTGAAAGATTCGGACCAGCTGTGTAACTCCGCTCCCAGGTGGAACACAAACCAGGGCACACCTGGCCCCCCAGCAGTGGGGTTGGAGCGGCCTGTTCAGCTCCCACTGATATTTCTGGGGTGCTCACAGCGTGCAGAGTCGGGGTGAGACAGACTGTAGACGAGAACAGATCCCAGTGATGTATAGTGTACAGAGAATAGTTCTTGTTTTTTCCCTGTAGGATTTAAAATACAAAAAAAATGAAAAAATAAAATTGTAAATATTGTAAATAGCCAGTCTTGTGTCTGTGTTTTATTTCTTGCTTGGGAGAGCAGAGGGAAGAGTCCTTCAGCTCATCCGTTTGTAGACATTTGAGCCCAGGATCTCGTCCAACTGTTTCTTGACAGAAGCCAAAGTATCGGCTTCAACATCATGGCTGGGCAGCCTGTTCCACGCTCCCACCACTCTTTGTGTAAAGGACATTTCCTGTCCTGACTGGAGGATCTCATCCAGCTGTGTCGTGAGATAAAGCAGGGTGTCGGCTTCAACAGTTCGGCTGTTCCACACCCCCACCACCCTTCGTGTAAATAACCGCTTCCTGTCCTGACAGGAGGATCTCGGGCAACTGTTTCCTGAGGGAATCCATGGTATCAGTTTCAACAACATGGCTGAGCAGCTTGTTCCACACTCCCGCCACCTTCTGTGTAAGGGCACTGGGCGCAGGATCCCATGTGAATTTCACGATTGGCACAGGACTTGTGATGTAGGTGAAAATCTGAGTTTCCTCGTGATGGGTTTTTGACAGCAATGAGCTTCCAGATACGTCTTCCCAGCTCTTCCCGTGTTCAAGACAGCGGAGTTGAACCTGTGGTTACATCATTGCATTGTCCCGCGTTTTAATGGGACAAACCGCAGAACCACAGAATTTGAACTATTTGTCTTAGCCTCCTGGTAGCTAGAGGGCAGCAGAGAGACACCCTTGCGTTTCAAAATAAAATATAGCGGTTGGGAAAAATTTCGCCTGCTCACCCTAAACAGGCAGGCTGACCTTCAGCAAGCCTGCACTGCAACCAACCTCGTTTCTCCCCTCTGATATAAAGGATCCGCCCTTTCTTCTATAGCGCAGGCTTGACCTCCAATCGCGTTTGGGTCGTTTTCTACCTCATAGGGTTTGTCGATATCGGCCAATCAGACGGCATCTACGAGGTTCCCACGTACCAATCACGTTGCTCTGAGGGCGTGTTCTCAATACATGAGCCACGCCCATTCCGCCCCACGCTGGGTCAAACCTCTCACTAGTTCCAGGTTGCTGAATGATTGACAGAGACGCCG